GGATCCATGGAGACATTTGACGATTCAAAGCTCGTATAAACTCTTTATAAACTCTTTTACAGAGTTGTAAAGTGTGGCCATTTTCCTCAAAACTAATATGTGAATCCAAAAATCCGCTGTGACTTTTCACCTGCTCTGACCTTTCTCTTGCTCTTCCCTGAGGTTTACTGTGCATGTAAGAAAAAGTCCTTCATAAAAAGATCCAAAATAAATCATGTTCAGTCTCTGAGCCCTGAGGCTTCCTAACAGGAGATGCTCTTTTGAGGTGTTTTATAGCCATTGCTAGTTGTTAAAGGAACTTTTATCCCAGTCTCCCCGTCGGGACCCCCTGTGTTAATACCTGATGGTGCTCTTCTTCAATGCCGAATTGGATTGCTTAGGCCTTCGGCAGCAAAACTCAGATAAGCGTGGCAGATGCAAGCTGTAAAGACCGTCCCAGGGCCGTGCTGGTGTCTCTGACAGAATGAGAGATTGCAGGAGCTGCTTCACATGAGTCTACTGGAGATCACTTTGTTTTGAAGGGCGCCGAAGAGGAGGGAAGCGCACTGTGATTCATGCTCCCCTAATGGAAAGCTCTCAGTGCCCTGGAGTACATACTTTAGCACAACACACTTCTGCTTTTTCATCCACAGGAAAAAAAAAACACATTCTGGAAGGTGGAAGAATAAGGGGGGAAATAGTGATAATGCTGCTTTTTCCTCAGTTCCTGGCCTCGTAAACAGTGCAGATCTTTTGACACACTGTGTTAACCCTACTCTCTAAGGCTTGAAATTGTTAACCCTGGGTCATCCTAAACCCAGAATAAACGGATTAACGGAGAGCAGGTTTTTTTCAACCCAGGCTCATTCTGAAAACGTAGTCCAGCGGACGTTTCTAAAGACCGCGAAATACGTCCCGGGTGGTACGTATTTGTGCAGTTTTTGTTTTCGCAAATCCACAAGTGGCCACTGTGTGCGCTTTTTCGTTTCTCGAACGTCTCTCGTGAGTGCTGTGCGCGCCCGCACTGTTCTGAATGATTGACTGCGCGACCGGCCAATCGGCTAACCCACCCTCCTCCTTCCCTGAACCCAACCAGTTTTACCGATTGACCTGCCCGCCCGCTCACTTCCCTAAACCCGAGCAACAATTTAGAAAAGCCGTCAAGAAAAAGAAAAGCCCTCGTCTGATTTTTTATTTTTTTTTAACCACTTTTTCGGATTTTACCACATTCTCACCCTGTTATGAACTCGCTCGCTTTATTTTTTGGATTCTGTTCTTGTCTTACCTGATTTCTGGAAACGCTCTTCCCCGGACTCGAACCCAGACGCCTTTGTCAACTACTCCTCTCTGCATCTGAAGTCCGCCAACGCACACGATGAGCTGACCGAACAAACTGATTGTGGCGGAAAAGCCCTCCACACGGAGGTAAGCGGTGAGCCGGCAAGCGTGAAAGGGAACGGCGTCAAACCGCCCCGTAGCGTCCGCTTAAAAAAAGGAAATGCAGCCATACGTACCTCCCTGGACATATTTCGCAGACTCCAGAAACGTCCGCTGGACTAAGTTTTCAGAATGAGCCTGGGTTGTTTTTTTTTCAACACATTTCTAAACAAAATAGTTTTAATAACTTATTTCTAATAACTGATTTATTTCATCTTTGTCATGATGACAGTAAATAATATTTGAATTGATACTTTTCAAGACACTTCTATACAGCTAAAGTGACATTTAAAGGCTTAACTAGGTTAATTAGGTTAACTAGGAAGGTTAGGGTAATTAGGTAAGTTATTGTATAACTATGGTTTGTTCTGTAGACTATCAAGAAAAATAAAATAAAAATTAAAGAGGCTAATAACTTTGTCCTTAAAATGGTGTTTAAACAATTAAAAACTGCTTTTATTCTAGCTGAAAATAAAAAAATCTGACTTTTTCAAGACGAAAAAATATTATCAGACATACTGTGAAAATTTCCCTCCTCTGTTAAACATCATTTGGGAAATATATATGTATATACATATATATATATATATATATATATATATATATATATATATATATATATATATATATATATATATATATATATATATATATATATATATATATATATATATATATATATATATATATATATATATATATATATATATATATATATATATATATATATATATATATATATATATATATATATATATATATATATATATATAATATGTGTATCCCTCATAGGTTGATCTTGCATTACCAGCACTAACCCACACCCTGAACCAGCATGGAAATCTACACCAGTGTAAGCTGCATTTATCAGCAGGGTTTGCGGCCCCCTCTCTCAGGAGTCCTTTATTGTTTCTCAGCCTCCTCGAAGCCAAGGGCAGCCGTGGGTTGTGGTCTGCACAACCTCCACACACACACACACACACACGATAATTCTCTAGCAACCTGCCTACACACTCCAGAAACATCAGCGTCAGTCATCTTCCACAATCGCTGAGCCTTTCTGATGAAGCAAACACCACATTTCAGAGAAGCGGTCAAGCTAATACATCAACATTTCACTGTCCTGAAAGCGGATGTAACATGAACTCCCGATGCTACAGCAGATTCTCTAAAGAGTCTGGTGGCAAAGCACCCAAAAGCCATTATCACAGATAAAACTAAATAATGCGTAACAATCAATATTTCACGAGCTCGGCTAATGCACCCACTTAAATGTTCCACTTACAAATGCCATGATGTTTGTTTGTGGATATGAAAGTATATAAGTGTGCATCTCTGCCCTTTGGATGCAGAAAACATAACATTTAAGTGAGTTGTTTAGGGCTTTAGCATTGCAGTGATTTGTTTCCCTGACAACCACTTAAGGAAGGACGACGGCAGGCTTGATTCCGAGCAAATAAACTGGAGCTTTATTGAACGTTTGCTGTATAACATGGTATCGTTTTTTTTTCTAACACCTTGTTTGTAGGTGTTAAGGACCTCTCGCATGACTCATGTCCGAGTTTCAACACACGTGACTCTCACATTGAAAAGCTTTGAGGATCATAACAGACAAGTTGATCCACACTGATTTACAGTTAAAGTCAGAAATATTAGCCCCCCTGAATTATTAGCCTTCAGTTAATTTTTTCGCAATTTCTATTTAACGGAGAGCAGATTTTTCTCAACACATTTCTAAACATAAAAGTTTTAATAACTAATTTCTAATAACTGATTTATTTTATCTTTGCCATGATGACAGTAAATAATATGACTAGATATTTTTCAAGACACTTCTATACAGCTTAAATTCTATACAAATTAAATTAGGTTAATTAGGTTAACTAGGCAGGTTGGGTTAATTAAGCAAGGGTTAATAATTTTGACCTTAAATGTCTTTTAAAAAAATAAAAACTACTTTTATTCTAGCCAAAATAAAAAAAATAATTTTCTCTAGAAAAAAAAAATATTATCAGACATGCTGTGAAAATTTTCTTGTTCTGTTAAACATCATTTGGGAAAAATTTAAAAAAGCAAAAAAAAAAAGCAAAGGGGACTAAAAATTCTGACTTCAACTGTACAACTGAACTGCTAAGATAAAGATTTATAAACACTAACTTTTCCAAATGTCTCCAAGAGTTTAAAAAAATGTTGAGTTTCATAATTTTTTAAAATCCGTTCAGTCCATCTCTGAGACTGGTAGAAGAAGTGTTAGCTTAGCTTAGCTTAAATCATTGAATCTGATTAGACCATTAGCATCTTGCTCAAATGCATATTTTGAATCGCGAATCACAGTGTGCACTGAACCATGGGAGGACAACGGGACGATGTGATTTTTTTTGCACTCCGTGGAGGCGACCACACTCTGCTGTGCATCATGTGGTCCTTCGCCTCCAAGTCGTGCATTAAAATCCTTTAACGCACGACAAGCTGTTGATTATCCCCTACATATTGTCTGGGTTGGTGTTGTATATTACATTACAAAAACCAATAAACCGCCAGTACATGTTATATTACAGACTTATTTCTCTATATATTATTTCTTATATACTATTTCAAACTACTAAAATGTCAATATTAGTGACTTTGTTAAACTGTAGAGTTGAGTTTTCTCTAAAATTCAGCAGCTTTACAGACTTTAATTCATTTTCAGTGCAAAATCAGTGCTTACACAGACAAGTTATCAATTAATAAAGACTTATGTGTGCATTATGACTTTAAAACTAAGCATTGTGGACTATAAAATAAATGTAAAATAGCATAGTTGTTATTTTTATGTCAGAATTTCTTTCTTAAGCAGTTTTGGTTGGGTTTGTGATACATTCATGACGCATGGCAGTAAAATATTGCCACAGTCATGATTATATATTGGAGAAAATTGAATGTGCTTTTTACTGCCACTCACTGTACATTTCACATGCAACAAGTAACTTAATGTCATTTTGCAAAAAAATGTTGCCTGAGGCATGTATTTTTCATGTGCCTGGGTTGAAAATATCCCATGAAATAAGCCACCAAAACATAAAAGAAATAAAAATAATGACAACGTGTTTGTCTTTTTTAGTCACAGGTGCCATTTCACAGAGAGACAGAGACTGGCTTTTCTAACATTTCTGCAGATTGACACAATAGCGCAGAGCTGATCGTCTCAATAATGCAAGGAAAAACAGCTAAATAATTCCATTGTCATGAAGACAAAAAACACATTTGATATTCAAAAAAATAATAATGCACACCACCACAAAACCTCAGTGGCTGGAATACTGTGCAACCACAATTGGCAGTGTGCGCCTTATTGTATCGTACTGTATGCTCACTCCAACACCTCCCACGTAATCATGCAAATTGTCCAGTAATCTTTGGCCATGCTTCAAAAAAAAAGTCAAAGTTGAAACATCTGAACCTCTCAGTGCTAGGCCGTGCACACAGCATGGTACGGGGATTTGGAAAACCTGCTGCTTTACAAGGCGATATCAAAGGAAACAATGCGAAAAGGCCTTTCAAATGGTTAAAAAAAAGAGAATAAATCTCCTCTGATGACTCACCAGAATGCGTCCTGGAAGATCTATGAGGCAGAGGAGACGTGCCTGCTGACCCAGACTGAGTAATCACTGAGAAACCTTCACTCTCAACCTCTCTGAAGCCTGGAACAAAACAGAATAAAGGCTGTTAATACAGATTTTTAACTACATTAAATAGGCATGCAGTTACCGATACATTCACTGTATAAACAAATGCAGAGTTCTACATAATGGTGGAAAGAGTACTGAAATATCATACTAGAGTAAAAGTACCATTACTTGCCCCAAAATGTAGTGCAAATAGAGTAAAAGTATCAGTTGTAAGTATTAGTATGAGTAAAAAGTAGCCCTTTTAAAAGTACTCGAGTAGTGAGTATATGCTGTTTAAGGCTGATGCATCTACATTCAATGTGTGCATATGTGTGTGAAAACGTAACATTCTGTAGTCCATTTAGTTATTGTTTAAGGCCAACTGGCAATTTCCTGTCATCATACAGTAAACATCCTTCACATTTCCATCAGTGTCATTGCGTGTTAAGATTTTGGACATCTTCTTGGATACTTTTCAGAACGGTTTAACCAGGCTCGGATTGGCTAATCGGGAGGACCGGGAGAATTCCCGGTGGGCCGGTCCGTTTTTTGGCCGCGAGGGCCGGTGTCCCTAGCTCCAAATCTGTTGCTCTCAGCAGTCACACTTTTGAAATTAATTTATTTATTTACTTGACCACAGTCTTCTCATTCATTATTTCAGCGCAGCTCTGCTCTTTTTATATATAACCAGCCTGCAGGTTAATGATGATATAACTTAGATGAGTCACTCTTCAGTATACAACGGTTGTGGTCCAGTGGATAGCACGTTTTTTTTATTTATTTTTTTATTGTTAAGACATATAATACTGTTAGGGTTGTTGAACATTTGAAGTTATAAAGCAGCTGTTTTCTCAAAAAAAGACGTGATAGTGTAATTAGAAATTTAATTGGAAATGACCTTATTTTAATATAGTCAGTCGTGAACTGAGGTGGGCCGGTCTGAGGCTTGACTCTCCAGGGCTGAAAAGGAGTCCCACTCCGGCCCTGGGTTTAACGCATTTATTAAGGGCTCATGTCTTGAGGTTGTTCACTAGGACGCGATTTAGTTTCTATGTGCGATTTGATTGGACAGGAATTACAGGACTGATTTTTAAACTCAGATTTTAAAACCCTTTCGGGGATAGGCATGGGCTGGTATAGGATTCTGATGGTATGATAACCTTGGATTGAAATATCTCTATTATTGTATTGTGATCACTGCTCTAAAATGAGTTATTTTTAAATGTCTGGGTAAAAAAGAAACTCTTTTTTCCCTTTGAACACAGTTTATTTTATTTTGAGAAACATTTAAAATATGTTAGAGCAGTAAAGATGTCAGGCTAAATAAATCCTTGACTTCTGCGGTCCTCATTATTTTCAAAAACACAGATTTCTTTACACACTGGATATCTTTTTTGCTGGAGATACTGCTGTCGTAAAAAAATGCTGAAAACACATTACAAAATCGTACATATTCCGTAGGAACAGTATAACCAATTTTTTTGCGGTTTTAAACCCTTGACTTTGAGTTATGGGTAAGGACACTTTCATTTTGAGGGGGGAAAGCCTCCCTCTGATGGAAGGAACTTCAGACAAACACAGAGCACCCAAAACACTGCAGTGCTTTAAATCTTCTCCATAAATAAAACTTGTATCAGAGTTGCAGCAATGTTTTATCAGCTTGACATCCTCTGAGAAAACATTGATAGTCGCCTAGCAATCTAGGTAGAACCACACCCCCCAACCCCCTGGGTCACGGTAAAAATTTCAATCGTTGACCGGTCCGTGGTGATAAAAAGGTTGGGGACCAATGCTTTGCACTGTACGCACTGGGTTCCACACAGCTTATTCATGTTGTCCCAACACAAATCGATTAAGTTAACACATTAAATTACATTGAACATAAAACGATTAAGGTGCCGCCCAAAAATTTCAAGAATTATAAGCTCATTTTAAACAATTAGTTTGAACAAGCAGCAAAAATATGTTTTTTGAGTGGACCAATATCAAAAGTGTGCTTATGCATTATGATTGATGAACAAAAAAACACAGAAAACATAAGAGAGAACAGAATGGAGATATCAGAGAGTAACGATGTCTGTAAACGCATCTAATTAAAAGAGTGTTCGACATAAACTCAGTATTCAGTACAGCTGTAAGTGAGCTGATAAATGAAGTACATGGAATGGATCGAGGGCACATTTTTTGAAGCGCACATTTCTTTACAACAGACATCAATGGGGATTTTGTTGTTTGATTAGATATATCAGTAGTAAAGAAAGTAAATCATATGACCCACATTTAGCAGTGTTATGTGATGTTAGGAGAAAGTATTGTTGTATTATTCATTCATTTTCTTTTCGGCTTAGTCCCTTTATTAATCAGGGTTTGCCACAGCGGAATGAACCGCCAACTTTTCCAGCATATGTTTTACGCAGCGGATGCCCTTCCAGCTGCAACCCAGTATTGGGAAACACCCATACACTCTCATTCACGCACACATTCACTATGGACAATTTAGCTTACCCAATATATAAAACTGAAGTTATAGTTACTACGGCTACAGTGCTTCACGTTTTCTTTGTGAATTTCCAACTAAAACTGGACAAAAGGTGGATTGGATTACTTGTTGGTGAAAATTGATCGCACTGGATCAGTATGTCGTGTGGCGGAGAGTGGTCGTCCACACAATGTCCATACTGTTGAAATTATCACCAATGTCGAAGACATGGTACAGAGCCAATAGGATGCACCACGCACCCTTCGCACTGTCTAACAGATTGCCCAGGAGTCTGGCAATTAATGACTCCGATATATAAACGTTTCTTTTTTCTGTGCATACTAATTTAGTTTACATGTAAATTAAATGTTAGCGTTCTGTCAATATTTGGGTTATCATTATTTAACAAGGTAATACGGTGATATAAATCGCGTGAGGTGAAAAACGGATACATATCATATAATTTAATCTATTTGCCACCTAATTGCAAAATATAATTAAAGTTGGAGGTATTTTGACAAATATTGATATTGATATATATTGAAGTCAGAATTATTAGCCCCTCTTTGAATTATTATTATTTTTTTATATATTTCCCAAATTGCGTTCAACAGAGCAAGGAAATTTTCACAGTATGTCTGATAATATTTTTACTTTTGATAAAATTATTATTTGGTTTATTTCGGCTAGAATAAAAGCAGTTTTTAATATTTTAAAAACTATTTAAATGTCAAAATTATTAACCCTTTAAGCTATATATTATGCCAAATCTTTATGGATAATCACAGAATACATTGGAAAGTTTCTTTGATGCAGCATGTTTTGAAAGCTTAAACTGAGTTCACCACAAGTATTAAGGTCTCAATCTTCATTTAGGCACCTCTGTATCTCTGTATGTTATCGTATAGATTGTAACAAGTTATTCACTGTAGTTTACTAACATAGTGTTCAAAAGTTAAGTGTACACTTTTAAAAGCATGGCCTAATGCAGTGCTTCGCTATTTAAACGAAACGTACAAACAAAGAGAGAGTAATTAAACTCAACAAGCAATTTTACTTTTACATAACTTAATAAGCAAATCTGTCTGATCTTAAAGGAATAGTTCATCAAAAGATTTACAATTTCTCACTGTTTACTCACCCAAGAGTAAGCCAATAGTTTATTTCTTCTGTTCAGAGAGTATTTGGAAGGAAGCAAAAACCTGTAACCCAGGGGTGTCAAACTCAATTCCTGGAGGGCCGAAGCCCTGCTCAGTTTAGTTCCAACCCTGCTCCAACACACTTACCTGTAGGTTTCAAACAAGCCTGAAGGACTCAATTAGTTTGATCAGGTGTGTTTAATTAGGGTTGGAACTAAACTGTGCAGAGCTGCGGCCCTTTTGGAACTGAGTTTGACACCTGTGCTGTAACCATTGAAAACAAAATAACCATGGTAAGTCAATGGTTACAGATTTTTTAACATGTTTCAAAATATCTTCTTTTGGGATTTTGGGATTAATTCCAAATAAAAAAACTACCATAGAAACTTTTTAAAAAGCATTTTTACAAATCCAAAAAGGAGTGTTTGGCTTTACAGTATCAGAACAATACCTCGATAAGAAAACGGTGAGTCAGATTTATCTTTGGCTGAATAACATCTTTAAAAATATTACATAAAACAAGGTGCAAAGTTGAACTCGCTGCATCCACTCCCGCACACACCTACAGTACTTATGATTTGCTGCTAAAAACAAAACTTGGCACTTATGAAGTGGGTTAACAAATCAAGAGAAACGTTCCAAGCACTTAAATTTCCTTCAAAGTGCTTGAGATTGTTTGGATGCGACTTAACAAGTAAGATCATGGATATTGATTGAGGCTGACTAAAGGAAAGGTCAAGCGCAGGGCCGTGCGGTGAGCCAATCATAAGCAGATCCAGCATCTGTGCTCCGCGGGATGGCATCATTTCAGCACGCAGCTCTGACTCACACGTTTGTTTGGCTGTAAATTAAACGTGCTTTATTTCTCACTGTTCCTCTCCAGGCAGGGACATATTGTGTCCTCCTACCTCCAACGAGAGCCTGTTGAACTGAGGATAGCACATCTCTGAGCTCCAGCTGAGAAAGCGTGAGCTGTGTGCAGGCCAGAGATGTTATAAAGAGGAGACGGGCCAATGCTAGAAGAATGAAGAGGGGATTTGCAGGAGTGAGGGATTAATGCCGTCTATAGTCTAGGTTGGTTAGTGTTGATTTAGCTCTGGCTAAATGCTACAGTGCTCAACATGTATGAGTACACCCCTCACAAATTTCTCATTTAAATTAATATTTTCTTTAGGAAGCTTTAGAATATTATATTTGTGCATACACATTCAATTAAGCAGTCTTGAAGCCAAATCTGGAGCTAATCTAACAAAATAACTTATGATGACGGTCCAAAACTAGCACACCCAAATTTATATGTAAGGGAAATTTAATAAATACAAGTTTTATTTTTATTTTTAAAGAGCAAATTTCAAGAGAAACACAAAATGTATAAAATTTCGTTGATATTTTGTGGTTTGTAATTTAGTTTTTCC